CATTGCGGGCTTTTGTTATTGTTTACCTTTTATTCAAATCAAATACGGCGGTAAAAATACTTTGTTTGGTGCATTTCTGATAAAAATCACACAAAAAGAGCAAGGATTAGAAAAGGATGGTCTAAATATATGACGGATTGTAAAAACTTTCCAGATTATCTAATCTATTCGTCCCGAAAAATGGCCGCCAGCAGGAGTTTGAGCCCGCGAATTCCTGGTGTGACACTAATCCTTTAAGTCTCGGTATTACCCCGTAGAAATGTAGTAGAAATGGCACCTCAAACTGTCACCGACATACTGTCAATAAAACGGGTTCAACGTCGCGCGACAAAATTCATCCTTTCCCTAGCTTCCTTACAGAACAGCCACAACATACAGGGAACGACTCAGGGACGCCGGAACTGGGGGGGGGGGCAGGAGGGGCAGCCGCCCCCGTTGCCCTTTACTAGGAGGGGCAAGGGGGCCAAAGGCGCCCTTTCAATTTAAAAGATTGCCTTGGCGAAATAGCGAATTGTCAGAAATGTTAGTGCAATTATTTTACGAATTTGCTTCATCGAGCCATCGACCTTCAAGAATAGCACAATCGCCTGGCAATTCGAGAACCCCTCACACCCCTATCATCCAATAAATAGAAAACATGGTTAGGCGAAGTTCAACTCCCGATGTTTTGCAAACATCTCTTAGTATATATCAATTCAAAAGTGCCCTTTCACAAAAATCTGCCCCCCCCCTTGCCTTCACATCGTTCCGGCGTCCCTGGAACGACTACGGGCTATTGGTATTCTCCCAGTCTGCTATTGGCACGAATTTCTAGACTTAGTTTTTATTTTCAAGACTATTCTAAGCAACGATGTCAATGTGCATGTCAATACGAACAACCACCCGGACGACTAGAAACGCTGACCCTGTCAATGGTATTAACCTTAATTATCCCGATGCGGACAGTTAGCTACAAGAACAATTTCTACGTGAAGGCCCTGTCACACTATTGCGTATTACATTCGCGTATTAATTGCGTATTATATTCGTCGTACATTATCAATCGTATGAATTTAATACAGTCTTAGAAGTTGAAGACATGGGTTTTATGGTTGGGAAGAATTCTCCCTTGACATGCAGCCGTTGTATCAAGACGTGAAAATCCGTAATTTGGCGTTGTAAACAGAGCGAGGACAATGTCTAAATTATTTATATATAGTAATTTTTCAATTCTTTTCAATGATCTATTGTATAATATTGGTAGCCGTCGCCGTCGCGTTGCCGTCCTAAAATCGTAAGGTCTCTATTATCTCTGTGGTTAGTCCCTGCCCGAATTGTATGTAAATTTTGTGAAGTACAGTATTTGTCATATTTATGTCTGTTATGTTTGGGCGAATCATAACCTTATTACTGTAATATTATTAGTTACTTATTATAAATGTGTATAAATGATCATATATCATATCATGGGTACAGTAGCTGGCATGAATTGAACAAATTATTCACTAACACCACAATTACTGCCAGTGTGATGATTGATGTGAATGTAGACAGTAGACGTCTCGAATTTCAAACCATCAATATAAGCTACAATTTTTTACCATTGCCCATTAAACTTCAAACAAACCCACGCAAATTTAATTGCAAATTGCTCGTGTTTTCGTATTAAGCCAAATTAAAAATAATAACACTGTTAAAAAACAACAGAAATACCCTATTGATTTCGCCTTCATACCGACTAACTACGAGCACTAGTTTATAGATTTCTGGCTGGGTTAAGTGCCGTGTCGCAAGCCGGAAGTATGGAATAATATAAAGTGTATCATGATAAAACTTGTTGATTAAATACAAGCAGAAATTATATATATTGAAAGCAAGACACTGCTTCATTATTCTACACCAATTACATTGATCACTAATACAGTATATAGTAACAAGGCTTATTGATTTAAACCCTTTCATTACATGCTGTTCAGGTTTTATTATTCGGCAGCTACGGATTGAGAGAGACATGCAACTACCAGGCAGAACTTCGACGTAGGGCCTTATTTTTTAGGTAGTTGTATATCTTTTCAATCCGCAGCTGTCTTGTTATAGTCGCTACCAACACCAACCGTTCGCGGGATATTATTATTATTAACTACCAGTGTAGATACATCTGTCAAAATTCATTCTCTGTTTGAAATTCATATACAGGTACTTTACCCTGTGACAAACTCTCTGTGTAGGGAGTGGAGAATACAAACTGTGAAATCTGTATACAGATGATGCGACTACCTGAAAATGATAAAATGAACTTTGACGGTTTAGAGCAAAGGCTCCTCACGTGAAGTTAGTAGTGCGAAGGTGGAAGGTAGTAGGCTATACTAACTTCCAGACGTGAAGGACCTTCGCTGGAAACGCCGAAGTTATTTTAGTATTTCTCAGGCAGTTGTATCATCTACAGATTAGCGGTATGTATACTTACTTTGCCGTAATATATTCAATTTATATCTCACGAGATGAATGTTGAAAACAGGCTGTTTATACTCGTAATATATATACTGTATTATCTCAGCTGATCAATATTCATTTATTATGTATAACATAATCACAATGCTCTTACCGTAGCAAAACATCACAAGCAGAATAACTAAAATATTGACTTTCAACATTTCATGAATGTGAACAAATTCTCTGCAGTGAGTGTTGTACAGCAAGTGCTGCCAATCTCAGAATTTCTCAATTTCTTAAGCGTCGTCTAATAGGGACAAACGTTCCAGAATTATGTTATGAGCCATGCCGCAATGCATTAAGGGTAAACAGACAGTAAAACTAAGACTGGCAGCAAGGTTATATGACAACTCTGCTCGGATTTTGACTCGTTCAGTCGGTTCAGAACTTCTGTTGTTTCATAATTCTTTGGCATTAAAAGGCAGGAGAAAGTATTAACTAATCAAAGTATTATGTTGAACAGCTAGTCTACGTCTCGTTCCTAGGTGAGCGGACCGAATCCTCGCGGGTTCACTGGAAAGTTTGCCCGAATTTTTTTTTAAGATTACGATGAAATAACCTCAAATTAGTCACATTTTATGAAAGTTCGCCCGAATATTCTAGTTTTTTTTCCAATATTTGCCCTCATTTGTCGGCGTGTTTTTCTTTCTCGCGTGGGGGAAATTTTCCAGGACATATAAAAAAAAAGGTTCAAAAACTTTTTCAGGACAAACACCAGTAAAATTATGGTTCAAAAAATTTTTCCGGACAAATACTTGTAAAATCACGGCTAAAACACATTTTCGGACAAATACCAGTAAAATTAATGTCTAAAATATTTCTCTCATACCATTACTCAGTATAAAATTAAAAACGTTGCATATAATTTGTTTTTAAATTACACCTTTTGAGTTTTGGCGCCCCCCTTTTGCAAATTGTGGGGCCCCCTTTGACTGGGGACCCGAAGCAAATTGCCCCGTTTGCTCCCCCCCCCCGGGCCCTGAACCTTCCATTTGGTCGACAGTCCCAGTGATTAAGTGTTAAATATAAAACTATCCGATCATCTCATGTGGTAAATTAAATTCACATGATATATGCAGGAAGTGTAATTTATTCTGTGAGAAACTTGAATTCCCCAAGTCATGGTCAGGGAAATTGAGCATTTATTTAAGTTATTCTAAGAATTTTTGTAATTCAATAATCTGATCTTCATGGATTATTGACCTTTAAATTTGAAAATTTTGTCAGTAAGCATAAAACTACGGAGAATGGCCAAGAGTATAAAACTACGGAGGCGTGAATGCCTCTCAGCGCCAGACGTGACGTTATTTTACATCAAAACACAACAAATTAGATTTAAAGATGCGGTACAGTCCGATCTGCGCATGTGCACAAAGGAGCCCTCTTTTCATTTACAAAGAGTTTATTTAGGTTTTTATTTCATTTTATGTTCTTGCAAAGCTTGATTGTTGTCTCTTGATAATTTTTTATACTCTAGAATTCGATCATGAAAATATAAATAGTTGTCGAATAAAATTCAATATTTTGGATCGCGAAATGTAAACAAAGCCTTTGTTTACATACGGACTGTACCGCATCTTTAAGGGAGCTTCGTGATGAGTATGTTTTCGAAATTTCTTCGGTATGTACAGTATTTTGATTGAAATTTTAATGGCGCATTATCCCTAAGCTTCAATATCCAAATGGCAAGCAGGTTGAGTCAGAAACGAGTTTTTGTGGCTTGATGTCGAAGTCAAACAAGAGGATACTGTGATGCTATTCTGTCAGCAGCCTCTCTGCTTTGTTTACATTGGACATTCTACTAACATGTAGATATGACTAATTAAGGAAGTGATTTTAGATCCATGTCATCCATGTGTTCTGGCTAAATATGCTTTTAGAGGACCAACATATATTAAGGCAAAAGTTAAAAAAATCGTAGTTTGATATTGATGGCTTTTCTTTGGACATATTTTCAATTCGATAAATTCGTTTGGTACACTGTGTATTTACAGTCAATATTTACCTTAATAAATGCCTTTAATTTTTAAACAAACAAAGCAGTTTGATGATAGCATCATTTTTCATGGCAGTATCCAATCAGAAAAAGGAATTATATTTTCTACCAATCACAAATTATCCACGGAGTTCATGCGGATATTACATAAACGCGCTGAATCAAACCTGTTATTACGATTCAATTACGGTCTATGTTAATAGACTAGTACACATGCAAGTATATTTTACGACGGACAAAAAGTAATAGATTACCATCCTGTTATCTATAAGAGAAAGATGTACCAATCCCGACATATTTGTATGGTTACGATATTGCTTTTATGCTTTGGTGAGTTACTTTATTAAACAATTTCGAAGTTAATATCGCTTTGTATCAATATCGTAAATTAGGATTCCACTGAATATCTTACCAAATGTACCGCTCCATTAAAATATATTTTATCTACTCCATTTCGAATCCACTTTCATAGGTGCAAAAGAGCGCCTACTTATTCATCTTAATAATCAAATATTTAGGCATTCAAGATATTATGACTGACACCCTATTAGTCAGTCACTATGGCGAAGATCTCAGTGATTGTGGTAACTGGACTATGCCATGTCGTACTGTGCGACATGCTGTAAAGATGTCCAATAATGGAGATCAAATTTATATTGATTATGCACAAGGAAGACCTTATACGGAATGCGAGAATATGACACAATCAACGTGCTCTATCGAGTTGACAAAATCTGTTTCATTTCATGGTATCAATGGACGAGCGGAACTTCGATGTAAAAAAAGTTGTAAGTTTTTTATCATAAAGAGCCCAAATTCTAATGCAACGCGTATCAAATTCGTTAACTTGGTTATATCAAATTCAGACACTGTTACTGAGCTTCACGAAGGAACCAGGTCGGAATTAGTATTTCAAAATATGTTGGTCATAGATAACCTTTACGCTATATACAGCAAATATTCGATTGACTGTTCCATTATGATAACCAACTCGAGTTTCGAGCATAATTTTCACTGGGGAATTCATCTGCGATGTGCCAATCTCACTTTTTTTACAAACTCCAGTACCTTCAAATTAACTCCTGTACAGTCCTTGACAAATATTGCTGAAAAGCCAAGACGCTGGCAAAAAACAGAGATTTTGGTCCGAAATACGATCTTTGATGGTAGAAATGTTCAAAAATGCGTCTCAATGCTCACGATAAAGCCATTTGCAGCTATATTCAATGTTACCATAACTGACTCAGAGTTCAAAAATCATGTTGCCATTTGTAGGTCCAAATACACAAATCAGTTTTCTACATTACGAATATACGACCATCAGTCAACACCACGTAATATAACATTTATATTTTTGAGCAATCTATTAATTGAAAATAACCACAATAACTGGGCAGCATTTTCAATGACTGTCGGCTATCTGGGTTACACTGAGGTAGAAGAAATGATACGAGACAGTATTTTTAGGAATAACTCGATAGCACTTCGGGTTTCTATTCGGTATTTTGGTAAGAATTCTACAACCAAGTTTCCAACAATAATTCATGAGAATAATACGTTTGTTGATAATATTAATGAAGTGCTAAAACCAGATGGCGCAGCCGCAATTTACTTTGGCAATGGTAAAAGCCGAGTTTCATCATGTCGTTTCCTTGACAACAGGGCCGGAGGAAATCCGTACACGGACGTAGTAACAATTTCTGCAGCGGCGAAAGTTACGTTCTTCAATTCTCATTTTGAAAATCGGCAAACAGAAGTGCTGTCTAATCAGCTTTTTGCAGCAGGGAATAGACCAGTTAATTTCGTTGGCGAAAATACGTTTAATTTAGTCGCACTGAAAGACAGACAGACCGTATTTATTCGCACACCAACTGTTTTTAATACTGGAGCTGTGATTAGGAAGAATTTTAAGATATTTTGTCCACAAGGTTACAAATTAAACCAGCAGCGACAATGTGATGTTATCAGGAAGGGAATCAAGTGTTACTATATTAATGTCCAATGTGAACAGTGTCCAACAGAAACGTACACACTCGAAAGAGGCGAGCTAATTTTCAATAAAAGCAATGATATCCAATGCCAGCAATGTCCTCGAGGAGGGAACTGTAACAACGGACTTGTCAGAGCCAAACAGAACTTTTGGGGTTACAAAACAAAAATGAAACTCTACTTTAATCAATGTCCACCAGGATATTGTTGCCACACCAAGAATTGCGTCACCTATGATAGTTGCTTTGGACTCAGATCTGGTACACTTTGTGGTCAATGTTCAGTAGGAATGTCGGAGAGTTTGTTTTCCACAGAATGTATATCAAACAAAGAATGCTCCTTAAATTATATTTTTAGTCTTGGTGTAATTGCAATGCTAGTTCTATACCTTGTATTTTTTCTTTACTATTCGGAGATTGTGGACTTTCTTCGAACGAATTTATTTAGTAAGGCTTTGTCATTCTCACTAAATGGCAGAACTGACCAAAGAAACAATACTAGTACTGATGATAATACTTCTTCATCCAGTGGGATGATTAAGATATTCTTTTATTACTACCAAGTTTGTAATTTGTTAAGGAGCTCTGTGGGTTCTTCTAACAAGGTGAAATTCATATATAATTTTGAGAATGTTATCTCAAAAGTAATGAATATCATTCTAGTGAATCTTTCGTCATTTAATTGTCTTTTCAAAGACCTTCGTGCTGTTCCTAAGGCAGTCATACTACATTCTGTAGGATATTTTCTTCTCGCTCTTCTTTGTCTTCTTTATTTGATAAGCAAGTTATCTCTGATCGTAAGAAGACGAAAAAATGATGGTGAAAGAGGAACAACGTTGCAATATATTGCAACATTAAGCTCAGTTCACAGAGATAGAGCTACAAGATTCTCATTGTCCGAACGAGTTGTTTCTGCCTTCACATATATTTCTTTATTAATGTACGCCTCCTCAGCGGAACTCTGCCTCTCACTTCTTCACTGTGTACCAGTTGGTGACAGTCAGGTCTTATTTCTTGATGGTAATATTAAATGTTATCAAACATTTCAATATTTCCTTCTTGCTTACATGATTTCTTCCGTAGTTCCATTTTGTCTTGTTCCTGTCCTCGGTACCTGTCTTTTAAAAATTCATCGAATTGGTGTTAAACAATTTTGCGCAGCTTGTATCTTTCCTCTGCCGTTTTGTTGTTGTTGGTTATATTTGTTGCTTAAGGATTTCCGTTGTGGAAATTCGGGAACGTATAACACAATAGAACAAACTTATACTACGGTAAGACGTAAACAAGATAATGACGAAAGACCAAGCCTTAGTAGTGAAGAGATTACCTTTGACTGCAATGAGAGCAATGAAACCACTTTTTCGGAAAATGAATCTGCCATTCTCAGTGTGTTGTTGGGTCCTTTTAGACCTCATCAAGGTTTTATGTGTTTTCCTTCGTCACATATTCCTTGGGAGGGTTTTCTTATATTTCGAAGACTGGTTTTGATTATTGTGTTGACTTTCGTCTACGACATACAGCTCAGACTATTTCTAGCTCTAATAGTGTGTGTGGTCATTTTAATCGTTCATATGTTTGTGAATCCTTTCCAAAGAAAACGCGACAATGCACTGGAATCCTTTTCCCTCGCTATACACGTCGTTTTGTGTGCTTTGACTTTAATAAAAGCTCTTTATTACGGTGAAGAATATTCGTCTTTCTCGAACAGTTTGCCTTTGTTGAGTGTGATTGAAAATATTCTTATATTTGCTCCACTGTCAATCATTATGATCGCTGTTATTCTTTCTATCGCTATAAAGTTGGCATTCGGTTTAAAGTTGTGCGTATCAGTTGCAGTTCGAAAAGCAGGAAGGCTTATAAGATAGTTTGCTGCGTAGTAGAAGTTTAGATATTTCGTGCTTTTTCTAAGTATTGGTTGTTAACAATTAGTCTTTCTCACGCCGCCATTTTTGGGTGCTTTTCAAGCCGAAGTCTGCGAGATAAGTCCACATAACAGGAACTTTTTATAATTTTGTGGACGAATGATGGTAAATTTGCTTTGAAAATGGTTAGTTTATTTTGAAAAATTGCTTTTCACATTGTTTTAATTGTCTGCATTGGTTAACGAGAATTAGATGCCACCCAAAAATGGCGGATATTCGTCATCGTGAGAAAGGCTAATTAAACATGATTGTAATAATTACAGTAATATGGCTTGCCATTTTTACAGCAAGTATAATTAATTTTAATTAACCAATTTGCGGCCATAGAAGATCTACTATATAGTTTATTGTGTACAAGGCCGAACGATTGTAACGTCAATACTCAATAGGGGACGCTTGCAGATGGGAAGATGCGTGTATAAACAGGTTTATTTGGTGTTACAATAAGGATAATAGATGGGAGAATATGACCATAGGTATAAATGACATTTAGTATTTTGTACTATACTTAATTTGTAAAATGAAACGTCAAATAAAATTTCGACAGGGTGCCTTTTTTCTTTATGAATCACATATATGTATCACTAGTTTGAATATTCCTGCAGATAACGGCTAATACTACTGTAGATAGTAGCAACACATCCCTCTCATATTTTTGCTACAACCCCAATATGCGCAATAGCTTCAGGGCGTATCGTACAAGTGCTAGAGCTGAAGAGGTGAGGGGAAATGAGTTCTCCGACCCTACGACAACTGGCCATGGTGGTCGGAACAATATGGATCAACGTGGGCCAGTCCCCTATATACTGCTGCACAATATGCATTCACGTAAAAAATATTTAGTTGCAAAAGTCAGAGTTGCGAAAAACCTACAAAAAGTATTTCACATTTAAATAAAATCCACGGATTAAAGTTTAGTTTAGCGTCACGAACATTTTCAAATTATGTGTTATATTACCTTGTCAGCCTTGCGGAATATTTGCTTCTTGAAGACTAATACCTCGACTAAGACATTCTATCAATATTTCAGGCTTGCCCGGTGTGGATATACACTCAGAGTAACATCACAAGCATCATATTCACCTGAGTACATTACACCAACACAGAAAAAATACATACCTTTGGAGCGAACAGCGCGGCAACATTTGGTGGTACATCAAAGCTTTAAAATCACACTCGACAAACACCAAATCAATGTGGTTAATTACGTATAATAATTCATTAAATTAAGTGTAGAAATAAACTGCGTACTGAAAGTAGGCTTGCTCTTGCGCGAAAAAATGTATAAATATTTTTGCATTCAAAATTACGACCACATTCTTATGCTTATATCATTGTTGAAATGTCAAACTGTTATTAGCTAATGTCAGTATATATCGCCATTCTCAAAATAGAGAGGCTTACTACCACTACAGCTATCTCTCCCAGGCATTAATTGGTTAATCGGTATTAGGAATGCATGCAGTCTCATTTCTGAACATTTTGGCGCAAAAATATGACATGTTTTCAGGCGGGAAGAAGCATCCACAGTTTTGGTATATAGTTTATACTGAAATCTCAGTCAATTTGTACGCTCTCATATAATGTAGGAAACTACACTACAATTGTTCAAAATAACTGCAATGCACCAAATCAGTATAACAACAGGTTTTCGTGTATGCACACACCCAGCCTGCTAGTGTGAAAAAGGTGACAAGGACACTCCGTATGGTGTAACATTTTGCAACAAAGATATAACACTGTGCCAGTACAACTGTTACAGGTTTTGGTGGTGCATATGCACCGCGAGATTTTTTAACAATTTAGTACTGTGCTGTACTGTATAGTACTGTGCTGTACTGTATACTACTACACTGCACTGTAGTTTACTGTGCTGCAATGCATTTCACCGCATCACACTGCACTGCACTGCACTGCACTGCACTGCACTGCACTGCACTGCACTGCACTGCACTGCACTGCACTGCACTGCACTGCACTGCACTGCACTGTATTGCATCAGTATTGTACTGTACTGTACTGTACTGTACTGTACTGTACTGTACTGTACTGTACTGTACTGTACTGTACTATACTGTACTGTACTGTACTGTACTGTACTGTACTGTACTGTACTGTACTGTACTGTACTGTACTGTACTGTACTGTACT